CCCGCGCCGCGCGCCACGCTCACGTCCGAATCCGCGGATCGGCTTATGTAAACACGCGTTTTTCGTGCACTACTAACCTGGACCCGGACCGGGTCTCGACTCGGGAGTCGGGACGTTCGGGAGATGGTGGATTTGTCGGCCAAGTTAACAAACCGTCGCGCATTGCTTAATTGACTCGAATGCGAGCTACACGTGGTTACGGCCGCTCCATGACGGGCGCTTTTTCCTATATGAATCAAGTCATAGACGAGGAAACGTTGTGGCACCGATAGGAAATACCTCCGGCCGTACGACTTATGAGACACAACATCAGGAACGTTGAGTGACACCGCGGATTGTGCGTGGAACTAACACCTCGTACGTGGTGCCCTCTACGGAGATTGAGCATAGTGCAAAGATCAATCGGGAAAATGGCAGAAAATGGGGAAATGGCAGGGTGGGATAATATTCTCATGAGAAACGTTTCCTTATCATAATTTCACGCCAATAAGTGCCATAAAATGACATGTCGTCACCCTCCGGCCAAAGTATCACAAGCGGCATGTGATGTCTAAAAATTGCCGCCGCCATTTTAATTTTTTACAGAGAAATTTTTCAACGAAACTGTCTGAAAATTTCATTGAATTTTCTTTCTGCTGCCGTTAAAATTCATTGAAATTTTTAAACGGATTCAACAAACAATTTCTCTGTATACAAAAGTAAAATGGTGGTGGGCATTTTTAAACGTCGCATGGCGCTTGTGATAATTTGGCCGGAAGGTAACGATGCATGTATGTATTTAGGGATACCAACGGGGTATAGATGATAGCACGCTATTTCGCCTTCAATTTTTTAGGTAGGCCAAATAGCATCCTCTGAGAAGCAATAGCTGCATAGATGGTACGCAGCACACTATTTCGACTTCAATTTTTAAGGTAGGCCAAATAAGAAAATTTAAGCAGCAAGGTTATTTTTCTGTTTGGTGATTTTTCGAAATTTCGACGCACGACACCGGATTCTAATTTTCCACTAAATGCGCCGTGATTTATAGGCAAAAAGTCAATTTGGCCCCTAAAAAATCTTCAATGGCCCCTAAAAATTGAGCTTGATGGGCCACATGGCCCCTTAAACTCAAAAGTGAGTTTTGAACACTGCTCCCGAGATGATGATAGGAAAATTGGAAAATCAGTGGCGCACACAGTATTTAACCGAATGGAAAAATAAAGAGGGAGGAGAAGTTCTCTGCGACAAGCTTATACCCATTCTATTTGCAGACATGGATCCGGGAAACCCCACAGAGGACTAGGAGCCACTAATAGGCAAGGCGCAAGCACATAGACTATGTCGTCGCAACGCAATCAGTTCCTAATTGCCATGAAAGATTCCGTCTAGGAATCAATTTACTCACTTCAAGTTGTAGTGTGGTCCCAGCACCTACTCAGGTTGCTGGCGCATGGTTTCGGTGAAAATAACGACATAGCCATCATCATTTTTGCAGAATTCTGTTTCCTACGACCTACGACTTCCATGGCAGCATTCACTCTGTATACGGTCTCATTAACTAAACAAAAACGAATTGAAGACACAAGTTAATGACATTAGATGAAAAACAAGAAACGAGAGATGATTATTGATAGATTCCTGGTAGTATCTTTAGTTCCCAGAAGATGGCATCAGACATCCGGAACTGCTGACTGGAAGTCGTTTAATACTTAGATGTGACCGTTTACATCAGCAAAAGGGCTTTAATCTACGGAGAAAAAAAAGTTAGTAGATCGATTTTTTGTTAAGTTCAGTTAGAAAATCGCGCGAATCTTTAGAAATTAACTCAGCGTGCACTCATTTACTTTTTGGAAAACCCAGTAATAAGTTTGCGATTGCTTTATGTGTGTGCGTGGTTTTTTTTTCAATACCTCAGCAAGGTCTAAATTAAAGATTATCATCTGTAGTGCGTGACGGAAGATGAAATCAGCTTGATTCGACGAAGAATCCCCAACGCTAAGTGATACCTAATGACCCGCACTTTATTGTTCCTTCCTCATTTTTGTGCTATTTTCATTCGTACTCAAACATGTCAGAAAAATATCCAGAAATCGTTGGATTTAATTTGACATGGTTTTCGCTTTACATATAAGAAAAAACCACCGGAAGTTGATGTTAAGAAAAATGTTTGTCGGCGGTTCCATTTTTATTCCTGCGAAACCTCGAATTAGCTATTATAATACCTCATTGCTCTTCATGAACATCAAAATTATACATATAGTGCTGATCACGCGATATTCATTAACACACTCGGAGAGATTTAAGTGCATGCGTACAAAAATAGATTACGATTAACTGCTGCATACTTATTTTTATTGCGGTTTCCCCGGTGATAACAAAATCTAGGTAGATAGAATATGCCAAGAAATTGAAACAGGGAATAATTTCGCCTCCTCTATTGGAAAGAAAATACTTTTTTCTGGATTTTGGCTACGATTTTTAGTTTGGCACAGGCCAAAAGTAATGGAAAACCGCTATCTCCAATTACTTTAAAGGCTGATTTCATCCATGGCTTCAAAAATATCAAAATTTTCGGTTTAAGGAAGGTCCAGGAAGGTTAGGAAAATTCAGGATAAAATTCGGCCCTCTCAACTCTGTTTAACTCCAGGTTTCAACATTTTAGGGGCCACTTAGCGATAAAAGTTGTGAGAGGTTGCCATTTTTTGTAAATTTAGTATGCTTTCGTCGTGAACATTCAGAGAAAATAATGGTTTCCCGAGCTTGGCTGAAAAATTGACCAGGGGGCCGGGTGGCAAGGTTTCAACTGCGGGTGCATTTTTCGAGGTAAACTTTGTAGAGGAAAAAAGTTTCATAATTTCGCAATCGCTTTTTCTTTCTAATAGCCCCCCTCATTGTTCTTCTAGTTCTTTAATTCCTTTCTTATAGTGTTCTTAAATCAGTGTGCATAGTTTTACATCGGAAGCTACAAGAAAGAAGCAACGACTGAACAATGTTGTCCGATTAAGAAAGTAGACCGAACCTAAGCAAGTTTATTTTTTCTTTAAAAAAAAACACTCAGATCAACACACTATATGTTGAAAAATAAGACTAGAGCACTGATTTTTTTCCGACTGCCGACACGAGAATATCACTCAGAGCCTTGAACACTGAAACAGAGAAGTAAAAGACCTCCTCAAGACATTGAGGACAAAACTGATAATCTTTTTGAAAAATGTCTTACTTTTCTACCTCGGCGTTTAAGTCTCCGAGTATAATTTCTGTGTCGCAGAAATTAGGCATCATTTTTGGTCCGAAGAAGTACTAATCTTTTCCTCGGAAAAGTGAGACAGCTGATAGTTAGTTCATACGTTTATTTTTTACGTTGAAAGATAATAATTTGAAGAAAAAAATTGATCTGATGCTTATATGCCACTGATAAGACGAAATTAAGATGAACCAAGGGATGCGTACTGTATGAGGCTGATGACGTAATTTTCAAGGACGGATCCAGCAATTTGGCAACACAGGATTTACTCCATTGAAACTTATGTTTAATAATCGATTCTTGTTAGAGCACCTGGCCCCTTCAAGAATTGATACATTTTCATAGGTTTAAATGGAGAAAAGACAATGTTGCCAATTTGCTGCCACTATTGCACCGATTTTTTTTCTATTGCTGACACGAAAATATCACTATGAGACTTGAACGCTGGAACAGAGAAGTAAAAGATCTTTTCAAGACATGGAGGACACAACTGATGATCTCTTTGAAAAATCTCTTATTTTTCTACCTCTGCGTTTAAGTCTCTGAGTATAAATTGGACGTATTTCTGTCGAATGGAACTAAGCGCCAATTTGAGTTCCTTTTGAGGAATTTAGAAAGCCGGAAAGCGCGTTCTGTCAAACGGAACCAAGCGCCATGGAAAAGCATCGAGAGCATAGGACGGCATGATCCCGACGCCTGATTCCGTTGCCAATCCAAGCCCCCCTCTACCTTCCTCACCCTACTTTGGAAAAAAAAAGAATCTTAAATTTGCCGCTAGGAAGTATTTCTTCTTAAATTAAGAAGTTTGCTGATTAATATAAGCTACTTTTTAGCTTAACTCAAGTATTATTTTTCTTGTATCAAGATAAAGTTAGCTTAAAGCAAGATAAAAAAATTCTTGGCGGCAAATTCAAGAATAATCAGGCTTGATCCAAGCTACTTTTTTTTCCAGTGTATGGCGCATAGGTCCGTTTGACAGAAATACGTCCAATTATAACATTAGATATGTAATTTTCTGTAATATTCAAAAGATCATCACGTAATTTCGTGTTGTGTAAGAGGTATTCATCTGTGATTTCACGACGAGGGACTCAATCGGAAACTTACGCTTTTTGTTTCAGGTGGTTGCTGACAAGAGGAACCTCAGGATCTACACTTAAAATGGTGCCATATTATTTTTATTTATTGGGGGCCGTGATAGCTCTCATATCAGCCATAGACCAGTGCTACGGCCAGGAGGACGGCCTGGAAGTTCTCTACGAGTGGCGGTCGGCCGATTATCTATGGCCAAGCGAGAGCGCCCGTGACGAGGCCATCAAACGGAAACAATACATCCCCGGGAACATCGTTCTTTTGGATGTTGATCAATACGATCGTAAGTTTATATTCTGATGCAAATTGAAATGAGCGAAGTTGTGAATACTTAAACTCCTGTAGTAAACTACCTCGAGTGGAACGCCTTCCAATCTCGGAGATACTCTAGGCTTTGCTTGGCAGTTAGTTTAGTTCCCTGTCCAAACCAAACTGAACTGATGTCACTGATTTCATTGCACATTTTCGCGAATGTGCTGGCTGGTTCTGAGCATTTAAATAGAAAAAAAAACACGTCTGTTTGTAAGCACAATAACCAATACTTCCTATTTTGTTTCTTTACTTCTGATTTTCTTATTCGACACATGTAGATTGCGATTTGCCTGCGACGCGACGTTTACAAATTAAGACTTAAAATGATTTATTGATATTGCATTTTCGCTCGTTTTATTTTTTTCAGCGATGGTTCATAATGTAGTTTGTAAGGAGAAACCGACGTCTCATACATGTGCCAAAATCAAAAAGAGGACTTTCGTCACCTCGCCTAGAGTCAATCGTGGTATTCCAGTCGTGCTGTCAACCATTAGTGATCGAGTTCGCAACGGCCAACATTTGCTGAAGCCTTTCCCGGATTGGCACTATAATCGGGAGGGCAACTGCGATGGCTTGACCAGTGTTTTCCGAACTCAGGTATGCTCCTTGAGAGGTATTATATCCTTTGAGAAGCCTCTGTAGAAAAAAACACAGCATTCGTTTTCCACAAAGTTCGGGGTGGAAAAAAAATCAACTTTTTCATTTTACGCCTAATTCTTCAAAGCCGATGCAACATAGTCCACCAACTGCCTAGTCGTTTCCATACCTCTTGATTTTGAAAAAAGTACTCTGAGTTTTGAAGGCAACTACAATGATTTAACCAGTGTAATCCAAATGCAGGGATGATGTAGTAAAGAAAGGAGCAAAAAATACTTTTTAAACATTGCAGACGTATTCCTGATAGAAACGTTGATACTATTATCTTGAAGTTTTGTCCAAAAAATTAGACAGATTTACTTGGATTTACAGATTTTATTAGGTTGAGACTGTCTCCGTATGAGGAGGGAATTATTCTGAAAAAAAGGAGGTTGATGTCTCTGAGATAGTCATTCCATGCTACGACATGTCATCTCCTCTTTCCCCATGTCGCCGTATTGTCCTTGCATCATTCATAATACTAACCGTTCCGAGTTTTCAAACAGAGGAAGAGTCTGTTCCCCTCGTGTGTTTACAAATAAATATTTCTCCGAGACAATGCAATGATCTGACATTAGATCAGATGCAAGTGACCTGGAAAATTGAAACCACTGTAGTATTTGTGTTTCAGGAAATCAGCCGAATAGTATCCTGCCGTGCTAAGGAAGAACGCCGTATGAACATTCGAGAATTGCCAAATTTCCCCGAATAAAACATGTATTTCTGAAGAAAGTTATGCGTATTTTTCCTTAAAATTTCCCGATATGTTAGATTTAATTGGTTACAAAATTGTCTGAAAAATTGGAAGCAAAATATTCAGAATGTACCCAGTTTTTTTTATTATTAAAGGAAATATGGCAACGCCTGAAGGCTCATACGACGTTTTTCCTGAGCACAGCAGTATTGTACCGTCATCTTAAGTTGAAACTAACACGAAGGTGATAAAAAGTCTACCTCTTCTTTGTTCACGTTCCGATTAAGTCGCTCATCATAATTTGATGTGTCCAAATTGTTGAATCAGCGTTCGTAGACGGTCTATCCATTAGAGCGATTTTTTTTTGAATCGTCATGTAGCCGTGACCTTATTTCAAGGACAGATTCGTAGTATTTAAGTGAGGTATCCTAATGTGATTCTAAATTTATAGACACTTTAAGTGTGATTGACGTGTTTAAGTAATTTATTTCCTGTCCAGGAAAACAAAAAAGTTTATTTTAAGGATGATTTGCAGAAATAAAAAGATAAAATAATAGTAATGATATCATAGTAGTAGAATGAAGAAGATGGTTCGCAAACGTTGAAAGTTCGTGCGGCGACTAATTTTTCAACGCGGGAACTCATCATTGTTATGCCTTGACATTTAGTTTTATTTTTATTTTTATTCCTCCATCACGATTGATCCAGAGTGTTTTACAATTAGCCCACCCGCAAAGGTCAATTGATTTGCTTTAATTTTTTTTTTCAAAAAAACATTTTGAAAAAAATAAACAATATAGTACGCAGTACATAGTTATACCTACCTATGGTTTCCGTATAATTTCAGCATTGATGTGACAACTTAAGCACAATATAGAAATGTTCAAGAAGATCACTGTCACAATAGTAATACTCCGATAAGCACACAATTTATTTTAAAAATTTGATTAATTTCTCCCTTACCTTCAAAGTAGGTACTTTTTTTCTTATTTTTCTTCTTTTTTTCTCTTTCTTCTTTTTTTTCTTTTCCTTCTTTTTTTTGGAGATCTCAGATTTTTAATCAGCTTGATGGGTATTTTTTCTAATCTTCAAACTTTCCTCTCTTTTTTAGATCGACGAGTGCGGAAGACTCTGGGTGCTCGATGCAGGAGTCGTGGATTCGTTCGCCGAACGGCCACGGAGAATCTGCCCACCACAAATTCTAGTCTTTGATTTAAATGCAGGGGATAAATTGCTAGGTAAGGCGTATGACTGTATTCCGACAAAGGGCGGGATGGTATTAACTAAATTTTGATGACCATTAAATCATGGTCATTGATGGGTGGTTATTGGAGAAAACGTTGTTTTTCACCTACATATGATTGATGAGCGACTCGTCAAACTCATCCGCCTGAAAACGAATTCGTCACCATCCGGCCAAAGTATCACAAGCGCCATGCGACGTCATTGGCGGATCCATAGCAATTTGGCAACACCAGATTTCCGCCATTTAAACCTATGGAAATGTATCGATTCTTGGAGGGGCCAGGTGCTCCGAAAAGAATCGATTATTTAGCATAGGTTTAAATGGAGAAAATTAGGCGTTGCCGAATTGCTGGATCCGCCTCTGCGAAGTTTCAAAATTTCAGCCATCATTATATTTTTTTACTGAGAAATTATTGGTTGAATCTGTTTGGAAATGTAACTGAATTTTATCGGCAGCACAGACAAAATTCAATGAAATTTTCGGACAGCTTTGTTGCACAATATCTCTGTAAAAAAATAAAATGGCGGCGGAAATTTTGAAACGTCGCATGGCGCTTGTGATACTGTGGCCGGATAGGTACCGAATACTCTCTCTCTCTTATTTCGAATTTCCGGATGTAAATCATATTTTGACTCTTCCCGAGTAATTATTTGACGGGATGTTATCTTCATCCTTTTTATTCTTTCAAACGGCTTAAAAATCAAGGATTAATTAATTTAATGAGAGAAGTTTATCGTTCGTTTCATTTATTTACTTTCATACGAGCTACGGATACACGTAAGTCAAATCTGGAGCCCACGTTTCCTGCAATGGTCCAAAAAAGTTATGGAGAGAAAGCCGTTCAAATTCCAAACCTGAAGTTCATATACTCAACAAGCTTAACATGTCAACGCTTAGGTCATTCACGTCGCAAATGATACTTAACATTCCGTGTTAAATATTTGAAATGGATGTGAACAGCATTGCCATAGTTTTATTACGTGTCTTTATATTCTGTATCTTCTGTTCCCTCCCGTCTCTCGAATTTGATTCTCCTACTTTCTTGTAGTTTGTAAAACATATGATCATCCACGAGAAAAAAACATTGGTGCGCAGTGCTAAATTTTTCAGAGGAGCGTTTTTGTCAAGTTTTTCGGAATGATCGGAATTTTGAGACCTTGACGGGAAACACTTTCTATTATTCCAAAGAATACAGAGCGAGAGACTTGGTTCATTTTTGTGCCTATGAAGAGCGTCACATTCCCTTTGAAATTTGACTACTCTAAGCCCGGAACATAGCAGGTTACTCTTTTCCCAAAACTTTTTATTTCGAACCAGTGCTAGATATTCCAAAGTAGCCGCGATAATTTGCGATTTGATCAGAGAATAAATCGCGATTTTTTGAGATATTATCGGATAAAAAATTGCGATAGGTAAGTTGCGATTTCATCGCATGAATTTGCAATCAAATCGCGATTTTATCGGCGGTGATGTATCGCAATATTATCTAGCAAAAAATTGTGATAAATTGAGGTAAAATTTCGATTTTATAGAGATATAAAATTGCTGCAAGATTGTGGATAATCGCTCATATGTTGATGATCCTTGCGATTTTATCACCAAAAAATTGTAAAAAATCGCAACTTAATTTCGAAGTATTGCAATTTTTCAGTTAAAAAATGCTACTTGGGGTCCCAGGGCGAACTTAAGTTGGCCACCCTTCCCAAGTATAGGTGGAGCTACACAATAACTTTAACTCCATAGTTCAAGAAGTAGACGGGCAAGGAATACCCCTCTGCTCTGAGGGGGAGTCCGGGGAGGTCTCTCCCGGAAATTTTTGAAAACTGATTTAATTTTAGGTGCATTTTAAGGTCACTGCTATGCAAATTTTGAAGATTTTGTGTTTTGTTCCCGGATTTTAACCAGGTTCTCTTCCATGGAACTTGTTTGAACTGAAAACCTCAATTCCAATTCATTTTGAATATATTTATTTATTTTATTTTATTTTTTGCTTTGTTAAAACTAAAATTGGTTTTGAAGATACCCTCCTCAATACCACCGTGCTAAAGAAACATGATGCACGGGTTCCAATAGCTCCCGCTATAAATATAACATACTTATGTCTGAGATAATATTTTTTCTCAAAATTTTCAGCCATGTCTCAATAAATTCGAAATAATTGAAAAAACTTACCAGAAAATTTACAATTAATCATGAAAGATTTGGCAACATTTGAATGCACATACATGCAGTTTTTTTCCTAAACACGGAAGAATAGCGGTGTGACATTTCAAATGTGAGAGTCCCGGCACTAAACCCTTTCTTCTCGTGGACTGTCACGTTCATGTGGTATACTGCCGTGCTGAGTAAAACGCCGTATGAACCTTCAGGCGTTGCCGAATTTTGATTGATAAAACACGAATTTCCTGGTGAACACAGGAATATTTTTCCTCCAATTTTTATATAATGTTGTTCGCAATTTCACCTAATGTTCCTGAAAATTTCAAGGAAAAATATTCATAACTTTCCTCAAAAATGAACATTTCATTGAAGGAAATTCGGCAACTCTTGAATGTTCCTACGGTGTTCTTCCTTAGCGCAGTATACCTCTAATAAGTACTTTCATAAAATTGCACTCTTACTTTGCTGTTTTTTTAGGTAGGTACCCGCTGCCGAAAAATTTACTGGAGTCGGACTCTCTGTTGATCACTATCGTGGTGGATGTGAGGGATGGACAATGCAAGGACGCTTTCGCGTACATGGCCGACGTGGTCGGGTTCAAACTCCTGGTGTTCGATCTACGTCGTGAAGCGTATCACCGAGTCGCTCACAACACTTTCTACCCCTATCCTGACCACGGGGACTTCAACGTTGCCGGCACTTCTTTCCAGCTTATGGATGGTCTATTCGCTCTCACCCTTGGTAAGTCCCAGGTCTAGCTCCATTTAAATGACCACAGGGCGAAACCACCTGTCTCCATTGCGACTTTTCAAAAATTTTGCTCCTATTTTATTGTTTCGAAGAGAAACAAGCCAACTTTACATAGCTTGAAATTTTCATAAAATTTTCTGTTGACAGCTTCTAAGAAGCAGCTATCGCGATGAGCATAGGCGGTTCTACGGGGGTGCCAGTGGGTGCCGAGCACCCCCAAGCAAAAATTAAATACGGTTATCGGAAACGTGAAATTACTGCTTTTAAAGATTCTGTATTCGCTCACACTGAGAAAAAATCCCAGCAATTAATCGAAAATTTTTTAAACAGAATTAATATTGATAGCCGTGTTTTACAAGATTTTACTGTTTTTTTATGATAAGATTGTAGTTTTGATGGAAAGTTTTGCTAAAAATTTTCTACATTGAATTCATAGGTATTTAAGTAGAGAGGAAGGAGAGGAAAAGAGAAAGTAGGGTAGGAAAGGGATCAAACTTGAGGGCCGAAACTTAGGCCTCCCCTGAGCGACCATCTCCTTCGGGGCCGGTCTCCGACATTTTCCACCTCTGGGCACCCCCAAGCATGAAGGTTTAGAACCGCCTATGGTTGCGATATGATCTGAGAATGTATCGCAATTTTACTGTCGTCGACTCACGGGAATCGAATATATTATCGGATGTAAAATTGCGATGATTTACGATTTCATCTCATAAAGCAATGAGATCGAGATTTTATCGACGGCGATTTATCGCAATATTATCGAACAAAAAGTCGCGATGAATTGAGTAAACCGCGATTTTTCAGTGATAAAATTGGAGCAATAAGAACGAGGGTAATCGCTCAGATGTTGAAGATCCTTGCGATTTTATTGCCGAGAAATCGTAAGAAAAAATCGATATTTAAAAATTATTTTTTAAAAAATTCGACGGATAGTGTCATTCACCACGGCGGTGCGCTTTGCAGGCTAACGACCCTGTCTCGTAAATGGAAAGCCGAAAGCGGAATTATAATAGGGAAAATTGAACATCACTGATGGCTTGATGGTCTAGGTCATAGAAGAAACAACAACGAACCATTAACAAGGTGGCAGGTCACGACATGCACCCGCGATTTTAAAAAAAAGAAATCAGTTTCACCGCTAATGTTCAGCGTATTATATTGTTCTCTGCTAAACCTAAAGCCACATTTCAATATAAAAACATTTTGCTTTGGAACATGCAACCAACTCATCGCAAACGCACGGAGAAATGAAAGCCAGAGGAGCTTAATTGCATTGCATTGTTGCACAGTGTCACAACACAATTTACTTATATTTACTCAAGAGCGATTGTAAACTATGAAATTTTTGAGAATTTCCTTTGTGAATTGACGAAAGTCTGCTGAGATTTCCAATGAAAAACGCCCTCAGCAGCTACCGACAGGGTACCCCGCGTGAATTGAAAAATATGGAGGATTGGAAATTTCCGTAAAATATTTCATGAAATTTCACGAGGCTGTGGAATATTTCTTACTTTCTAGGGGCTATAGAGTATGCAAGCCGTACTCAAACACACGAAAATAGAAGAAAGTCACATTTTCTACACTTTCCGAAACATGAAATGAACAGGTATTTTTCAATATCTTTCATAAATTACTGAAATCTCATGAAATATTTCACGTGAAATTTCAAGATTTTTATTTTTCATGAAAACCTGCAACTCTGGCTGCCGATGCCTGCACTGCCGTGCTGAGGAAGAACGCCGTAAGAACATTTGACAGTTGCCAAATTTCCTTCGATAAATGTTTCATTTTTTATGGAAGTTATGAACATTTCCCCTTGAAATTTCCAAGACTTTTCGGTGGAATTGCGAGCAAAATTATCTGATTAACGGGAAGAAAAATATTCATAAGTTTGCCAGAAAATTTGAGTTTTATCGAAGGAAATTTGGCAACGTCTAAAGGTTCATACGGCGTTCTTCCTTAGCACGGCAGTGCAGCTCCCGAATGATCTCCTCCTTGATAGATTCCATTTGCCGTTAGGTGTCGCAGATTGCCCTAGTGCGCTGTAACTGGAAACTTGACCAATACATAAAAATAATTCAATTTTTTCTGAGATGTGTCTAAACTTTCGTTTTTATTTTTCAGGGCCTGTCGAGCTTGACGATCGACGGCTTTACTATCACAGCTTCGCGAGCGTGCGGGAGGGTTGGGTGATGACGTCGACGCTGAAGGACCGCGCGGCGTTCCTGAAGAACGAGCGCTCTCACCCGACTTCCTTCTTCACCTTCGCCAAAGAGCGGGTCGCTCAGTCCGGGCCCGAAGCCATGAACAAAGAAGGAGTTCTCTTCTTCTCCCAAGTCACGCTCAACGCAGTCGCCTGCTGGAACTCAAAACTAGAATTTAAGCCCGAAAACCTTCCTGTGGTTGCCAAGGTAAGACTCCCTCAACCATACTGCCGTGCTATGGAAGGACGCCGTATGAACCTTCAGACGTTGCCGCGTTTCCTGCAATAAAACCTTGGTTTACTGGAAAAATCGTGAATTTTTTTTTCAATTTTTTCAGACAATTTTGTTGCCAATTTCGTCTAAAATGTCTGAAAAAATCGAGGAAAAATACGCATAATCGTTCTCAAAAACACAGGTTTTCTCAGGGGCAATTTGGAAACTCTCGGATGTTCATACGGCCAGGGCCGGATTAAGGGGGTGGCCACATGGGCCGCGGCCCATGGCGGCAAATCTATAGGGGTCGGCAAATTTTGCAATTTTTGTAAATGTAGGTATAAAAAAAATCGGATTTAGAAAAAAAAAATTATTAACGAGAAAAGGCGACAAAATCTCTCATTTCCTGAGAGTATAGTAATTTCTAATTTTGTCGTCTTTCAGGGACACAAGTGAAAGCACCTTTAATTAGTCGAGTTATGAGAGAAACCAAACACGCAATTTGGCCTGGAACGGACGCGACTTAGAGAGAAATGATGACGAGGACTTGAGATGAAAAGGAGAAGCCTCAGCGCGGCGATCGATCGGCATGTAAAACATATTAGCGCCTACTAGACTGCACGAATACTTCACGCATTGCATCAAACACAGTCCGGTCGTTGCGGTCAGCGTGAAACGGATAGCGCCTACAAGAATGCATGAATACTTCACGCATTGCGCCAAACACAGTGCGATCAGCGTGAAACGCATAGCGCCTACAAGACTGCGTGAATACTTCACGCATTGCGCCAAACACGGTGCGTTCTGCGCGGCGCGGCGGCAGAAGTTAAAATCATTGAACCACATTTATGTTTGTTCTTTCATAATTTTTTCGTTCATTTCTTATGAATGGAAGGCCTTGTCCATCCAGAGATAGGTTTACGAAACTTAACTTTCGCGTAAAGTTCCGTGAACTTTTGCTTGTAATGTTGCCTGAGCTTTCCCAAAAAATGTTTTCAACACGAGTATACGCGTCTTATGCACCCCTCCCCCGCTGGCACGTTCATTAGATGGTTTTTATTGATGTTTCAAAACGAATGAGAAGGGGGCGGCAAAATGCAGGCGGCCCATGGGCGGCAAAATGCAGGCGGCCCATGGGCGGCAAGTAGGTAAATCCGGTCCTGCATACGACGTTCTTCCGTAGCTCGACAGCATGGTCCGATTGATATGCCACGGCGAAAAATTCGCATTGGCGGATCCAGCAAATTGGCAACATTGTCTTTTCTCCATTTCTATGGGATTGTATCGATTCTTGAAGGGGCCAAGTGCTCCGACAAGAATCGACTACTTAGCATAGGTTTAAATGGAGGAAATCCGGTGTTGCCAAATTGCTGGATCCGCCTCTGAAAATTCGAGCATCGGACCCGAAGTTCAGGTCGTATGGATCTCATACAGTTTTCGGATCGCGCATCCCCAGCTGCTGAAAAGGACGTATTTCTGCTAAATAGAACAAGAGACAGGTGGGAAAGAAGAGGTGTGCCCGTTAGTCGAGAGCCGTATATGAATGAATGGGAATTATGAAGCCGTCAGTGACGTCAGCGGCGACGACGACCGGCAACGCGGTCTGCAACTCATGAGCCCTGCCCACAACGCTCTTTTGCGAAGCCCATGGCTCATGAATGCCGCATACAGTTGGCGCTTAGTTCCGTTTGAAAGAATGTTCAATCCAGCTTTTCCATTTCCCTAGAAGGCATCACGTCCACTCTTACATTGTTTCTTATCTAGCTTCCTAGAGCACACCTCATCTTTCTCATGCACCCGTCTATAGTTCCGTTTTACAGAAATACTTCCAAGTTTGGGTCAATAAGGATTCCTTTTAGCGAGCTTCTATAAGTCATCACCCACCCGGTGCATTGGAAAAGGACTGAAAGCGGCAAGGCACAAGACCAATCTTTTTCATGATGCCACACGGCGCCTTCATTACAGCCACACGCAACATTCTATTCTCGTCGATTTCGCATTCATGAAGGGGCATTCTTAACGAAGTAATGTTACGTTTCGTTCTTTAGGTTTGCCGTTTGTTCTCAAACCTCTCAAAAAATATGTTTATGAACTTTTCGATGGAATCACGCAGCGACTTCATCACAGCCAACCGCAACATTCTACACTCGTCAATTTTGTATCAGTAAACGAGCATACTTTACAAAATAATACTACGTTTTGCTCTTTATTTAGCGCAATTCTCAACGTGAAAGAAACGTTTACAGGCTACTTTGTAGATACTTTCTTCACTACTTCGGTTTCCTCATCAATTTTGGCCGAANCAAAAAAAAAAATAAAAAATAAAAAAAAATAAGTTGACCAATTTTCCAAAGAAAAAATAAAGTATAATAGGAAGTCTGCAACGTTGCAAATGGGAATGCGTGGTTTCGATTTTCGGCCATCGACATTGTTCATCTTTAAAATTGTGATTGGATTAATTTTTCTGCAAAAACCCCCCTGTTGAAGTGCCCTTCTAGCTCCTTTCAAAAAAAAAGTTTCTAGTCTCACTCATGCTATAAGGTGTATAAACCCTGCCTCCTCATTCTAGAAAGTAAATACAGTTTTTTTACGAAGCAGCCCGAGACAATGGTAACAGGAAAAAAACAAGGGGGGGGGAACGGGTAACAAGGCTAAAAAACTCGAGACGTTGCGACTCAAAACCGAGTCATTTTCAGTCGGAAAATGAATTAAAAATTGAAAAAATATCGATGAAAAAACCCGAGACCTACATGTTGACCTGCGTGGCCTACACGATGGAACATGCAGGTCTCAGGTTTTTTCATCGATGTTTCTAAATTTTTAATTCATTTTCGACTGAAAATGACTCAGCTTTGAGTCGCAACGTCTCGCGTTAAAATTTTTGTATTTTAGCCTTGTTTCCCGTTATCCCTCTGGTTTCTCTCCTGTCATTCTAAAAGTCTGACGTCACTTATGCATGATCCCTAATTCAAACGAGTCTGTTTCCAGAATGACGTCACGATGCAGTTTCCCTCCGGCCTGAAAGCGATCAATGACGAGATCTACGTGCTGACCTCCCGGCTGCAGAAGTACCTGGACGGCTCCCTGGCCAACAACGAGATCAACTTCAGGGTGCTGCGCGGCTCTCAGCCGGCCCTGATCCAGGGCTCCGTGTGCGACACCAGGTCTGCTCCTTCTGCCTCTGGCTCCATTGTTTACCCTAGCGAATTCGTAAAACCCGTCTACGAATCGGGCTCCGAAAAATCCACAACTTCGGCCACCCGTCGAGACCCGCCGGCCTCGACTTACGGCTGAGCTTAAAACTCTGCTTAACAGCCGCTTTAGAGTAATTTAGTTGCTTGCATAATTAGCTGTTAAGGTTTCGAACGGTGTTGTCGTGATTAAGATTGAAGGGAGAATATTGTACGTATTTCTGTCTAACGGGGCTAAGTGAAACGCTGAACGCTGGAACAGAGAAGTAAAAGATCTTTTCAAGACATGGAGGACACAACTGATGATCTCTTTGACAAATCTCTTATATTTTTCTACCTTTGCGTTTAAGTCTCTGAGTATAAATTGGACGTATTTCTGGCAAATGGAACTAAGCGCCAATTTGAGTTCCTTTTGAGGAATTTAGAATGCCGGATAGCGCGTTCTGCCGAGCGGAATGAAGCGCCGTGGAAAAGCATTGCGAGTATAGGACGGAATGAGCCCGACGCCCGGTTCCGCCGCCAATCAAAGCCCCCCTCTATCTTCCTCCCCCTATGGCGCTTAGTTCCGTTTGACAGAAATACGTCCAATGAAAGTCGCAGGTTGTTAACGGGATAAAAATGAAATATTTCCGGTGAGCTCAGAAAAAACGCCGGAATTTTCAATCATGATGTGACGGTAATGAGTAGGTACTTATTTTTTACGGCCAGTGATTGATTCTAGCGCAAAGGCCACGGAGGGTTATTCGATATTTGAGAAAAGTATGAAAATCCCGCAATTTTTTAATACATTTATTTACTCTTATGAGTTCATTTTTCAATATGCATTGTTTGCAACGTATTACCCCTCTTTTTTTCCTCTGGACACATAAATCCAGTAAAACCTTGCGTTTTCGCGTGCGACACGAAGAGAGGTTAAATTTTCAGTCAAAAGCGTGATCGAAATTAACATAATTTCGCGGGTCGTACCGAGAGCACTCAAAAATATGAAAGTACAACATATTACTTCCTCTTCTTCTCCCTTTTTTAAATATTATTTTTAATCCTGATCACGACAGCTTCAGGCAATTACCTTTTCAGCACCAATTTGAGTAACAAGATTAGAATGATTTTGAACGATTTTCCGGAAAATCCGTACGTGATAAAAAATAAAAATAAAAGGACAAATGGTCTTTGCAGATTCAGCGCTGAAATCACCGCTATCTTGATCCTTCCTTCATTTTGACATGTACATCGTACCGCCTCGGACATTGATCTAGAGGCATAATTAGGCTTCATTTTGCAATTAGAAACTAAAATTTCTGGCTCATCTGAAAAAACACTTGTCTACATAGGGAAACCAATGGTAAATACATTGTTTTTAAATTGAGCCAGAAATTGTAGCTCTGAATTGCGAAATGTAGCCCAGTACAGTCCTAAATTCTAATCGAGTTACTCAGCATTAAAGGCATTGGTTTAATTAGTTATGGTACATACGGCATGTTAGATTTAGATCTCTCGTAGTTAGTGAGCTCTGGTGCTGGGTGAATATTGTAAAAAAAAATCAGGCTGGGAAGGATTTAACGTTCTCTTTTGTAAATACGAAATTATTTCAGCGAAATGTTTGTGTTTTCGAATCGCAGGCAAACTGGCACGTCGGGATACTGGCTTGTTCCCAGCCAGCCCCAGCCGCGCCCTTGCCCCTTGAGTTTTCGGCCGGCAAGACGTGGAGCGGGATTAACGCGCGCTTTCCACCGACGAAGAGCATGGAGGCGCAACGGGTTCCCAGTATTTTAAAATTATTATTTTACGAGTTTACGTCATTTCAGTGACGCCTCTTGAAAGTTAGCAACACTGTAATTCCTCCATTTAATTCCATTAAAAATCTCGATTTAAGGCGAGGCAAGCTGCCTCGCCAAGAATCGATTATTTTATACACATTTAAATGGAGGAAAAACAGTGTTACCAACTTTCAAGAATCACCACTGCATCATTTGCGATCGGAGTTGGTAGCCTACGCTTTGGGGGGTTGCGAGAAGATATAACCTATCATAAATGCGCAGTTGCGATATCGTCCACTTTTATGTTTTCGATGCACTAATTCTGTCAAATCTTTGGGGGAGGAGGGGGGCGAACCTCGAAAAAAATTCTGAAATACCCTTGAAGTCATCAGTAAAAAAATGCGTAGCAAAATTTTAAATATTTCCGAAAAAGCGATCAAGGTGTTCAAAAAATAGCCCTAATAAAGATGGACCTGAGCGCGCGCGGGGGGGTGGGCATTGGGGTACAAAATAACTCTAGCACAATTTTTTATGGCAAATTTTGAAAAGTTTACACATTTTCGGGGAAATCGACTATTAAGGTGCGTGACTTGAGTAAATTCTTCATTTCCTTCGAAATTTGTGGACTGTCTACTTAAGAATAATGAAAAATTTTGATGTAAAATTTGTGGTTGATTTAAATCAATGAAATTTCTCAGAATAATTTAAATAAGTTTCATCAAAAATTATGTAAAACTTACGACCAAAGTTTTATGATGCCGTTTTTAACGGAGGGGTATCAAAATAAAAACCCTCTGTACGTTGGGTTACCTACTCATATACATAAAAGTTATCATCTTTATAACTTTACCGTTTTTAAGTGATGGACGTAAGAGCGATATATACTATTCTGCTGGTGCTGTCACTTACCTTCCCAAAGGTAATGAGCTATTAGAGTCGAAAATGACGACTAACTGTTCGCAAGCGCTCTATAGCATCCAGAACAGACCCGGTTCATAAAATTATGCTCGTTCAATGTTGTTGTAAATAGATGCTATCAGAATAGTACACTTATGATTTTTCCTTTTAATTTTGTTAATTTAGTCTTTATAATTATATTTTTCTTTACTCTTCCTGCATGTTTAGCATTAGTATCCTAGTGACTTTGTTTCTCCTTTTGTACAATGTAGTATACATGCTTGAGATCAAATATTTTATTCATTTTACTTTCTCTCCTGATACGGAATACACACCTATCCAAATTTTTCAAAACACTTATATTACTTGTACTGTACGCAGTTTTCAAGAACTTGAAAGCAATTGAATCAGTTAACTTTTGATTTTAATAGATGTGTATATCTGGGTTAACGATTAAATGAAAGGCATTTTACTTATATTTTGAATTTTTTAGAAAAAAGTAAACTACAAAGTTCAGTATCCAGCCAAATCACGCTAAAACAGCCTACCCTCTGCTTTTTCGAGACTAATATACATACATTGAAATTAAAACGAACACTTCGTTTGGATGGTTAAAAAAAAAAAAAAAAAAAAAAAAAAAAAAAAAACATAAAGTAAACGAGGGAGGACATACCTATTTGGCTGTGGTTTTTCCAAAATAAAATAACAAATGCTTCAGACATGCATTCCCTACCAATTGACTTACTCTCTGTTCCTAAAATCATCTTGATTTGTGTGTGAAACAGTAAGTGAATTTGGAGTACTTGTATCGTATTTGTGAGGGGGAAGGGAGGCTGGTCATATACTGGGATGCTGGGAAATGCGTTTCAAGTAGGTAAGTATTTCAGCAAAGTATGATGCTGTTGATGAAACGCGATGCAGAGAAAATGGGGAGAAAATTAAAAATTAGTGCTTCAGATTTATTCGACTGCAAAGCATTTATTGGCTACATGGCACTGAAAATTAAGTTTTAACGTAAAATTTTAAGATGTCAGGAAAAGAATGAATATATTTTGGGAATAAATAAAAAGTAAACCAAACCTGCACTCAATTAAAATAATTCTATATCGTTAACTTTCCTTCAGTAATTTGCTTTTAACATGTACATAAATGCATAAAGAACTTTTGCTTTTATTCTTCGTCAAGCGGCCGATTACCTCCGTGACTTTATCTAGCTTTCTGTAAATACTTCTGCCGTGGTCCATGGGTTGACTAAACATCCGAAGGAGTTCAAGTGAGTATAGAAAATCACAATTTTTACTGCACACTGAGAGTTTAGGAAAATAGCTGCAATTACAACTATATGAATGGATGCACATACTTTACCAACCATTATTTGGAAACTTGGTTTTCCCCCCTTTTCATCTCGAGGAGAAATCATGTTCGTAAAAAAGGTGACACAGATTAACAGAAAAATCTACGACCCGAGTAGCATTTTTTAAAAATTAAACAAAATGGAAACAAGTTTTCAATTTTATCTTTGCAAAAAGCTAAAATTGGCAATAATTACAGCTATCATAACTCCTGCAAATAGCTGTCATTCCGAAAAGATATAGTTGATAAAATCTGACTCCTTCACAATGCGGTCAGATTTAATGTTTACCTAATACATTTTTTAAATTAAAATTTTACAGGCTTAAGTTGAATTGCATCTCCATTTTCACCTTTCAAAATATCCATTCTGTTTTATTGTTTTAAATGAATCAAACCAAAGTATCTCTTTGAAATTTTCTGTTTAAACTTTCGTGATGTGTGAAGAAAATTCCCAGAAAATTTTAATTGAACCTTTATTGATGTCCTTTAAAAAAAGGAATAAAACATTAGCGACTATGCATAACGCCGCAATCGGAGACGAGCATTTTCTTACTTTCGTCATCGATCCATGATTGACATTTTTTGTTCGTTATTTTCTAAACTCTCATATGCACTTCTGCGTAGGAACTTTCAATCACTATGATGTTGGGTGGTTTTAATTAAAAACAGAAAAGAGGCAAAAAAATTATCATCGACATTTTTTTTAGGACGACGCAAACACTTGTTTTCGATCGAACGATGAGCATGATTGTTGCCAATCGCGTGTTCGTTGTGTCTGGGCCTCTGTGCAGTAACATGACGTCCGCTAAAGTCTGGAAGCCTCAGCCAGCGAGACAACGAAAACACGTCACAACGGCGTTTGAGGGGCTTGGAGGACAAGGCGCATAAGTGCAGTTTTTGCTATAGCGAGAAATACGTGTTTGAAGTTTCGAAATTGCATGGATCCTTATGGCGGAGAGGAAGTTTAGACTGACTTTTTGATGCTTAAAAATTGGAATTTGGGGGCAAATTTTTCATTAAATACGCATTAAGACTAGTTTTACTTGGAATCATTAAAATATTAATTTTTTCAAAAACTGCACTTACGCACCTTGTCCTCCAAGCCCTTCATTTCCCTTTTTGCCAATGCACTCATAACGAATCTCTCTCTTTCTTTTTTGCAGTGATTATTGGACCGACTACGTCAACTACGACACCTACGACCTCTTCGGGCCTGACTCACTGGGCCCCGGTCCCGGAGTCCTGGACAGCAACTCCCTGGAACAACTCACCCCTTACAACCCCCTCGAGGACCGACCCTTGAGCCTCTCCAACTACTCATCGACCCCTCTCCACCGCCCCCCGCCGCCGAGCAAATGCGACTACGCGCGGGACCCCACATGCCTCTTGAAACCCCAACCCTTTAAATACTCGAAAGGCTTCAAGTTCTACAAGAAACCCGCGATTGCCTACGCGGCCGGGGGCATCGAGCCGCTGCCGCTCCTGGACGACAGCCACGAGAACCGGACCAAGATGGGGTCCTCCGCCACCCACGTGATATACTACAACCCCATCGCGGTTAGGTACCCGGAGAGTTTCGAGGAGCCGCCCCTGGAATTCGGATCGCGGGTCGCTCCGGGGAAGAGTAGACTTCGAGGGGACGAGGAGCCCTCGATTTCACCCCCTGTTCCGCCCTTTAAAAATCTACAATTCTACCCGGCCAAGCCCCCTTTTTACGAGTACGCCATCAATCACCCAGCCCCCGGATTCGGGCCACCGAGTATACCCAAATTCCCGAGGAAATCCCGCGGAAGACCCCCTGGAGTCCTCCGTAGCCCATTTAGTAGGGTTAGGTTCACCAGACTATCCAAGAAAAGGTGATGGACCTCAAGATAGGGCCATGAGTTCTGGGGTGCTGAGGAAAAACGCCGTAGGAACATCCGAAAGTTGCCAAATTTCCTCTAAATAAATGTTTATTTTTGAGGAGAGTTATGAATATTTTTTCCTGAAATTTTTAGATAATTTAGATCTAATTACGAAGAAAATCTTCTGAAAAATTGAGCGGAAAGTGTTCACGAGTTTTCCTGAAAATTCGTATCTAATTAAAGGAAATTTGGCAACTAATGAAGGTCCATACGGCGTTTTTCCTCATC